CACCACGTGTCAGTTTGTATCATCAGTGGTCTGATCTGGTTAGTAGCGAGGTCGAAGAGAACCGAGTGAGCGTAGCAATCGTGCTTCAGAGCTGCGTCGTTTGGGTCTCTCCGGCACCGGTGACGGTCAAGAGCTTTCCTCGACGGTCCGATGTTTGTTCGATCAAGAAGGATGACGGTGTTGAACCGGGTCACGGCCGTGTGCATAGAAGCTATACCGGCGTCTTGTACAATGAGCTGCCAGGTGCCTGGTAAATCGGCACGTGCGATGGAGAAGAGAAGTACAAGTAGTACGATCCCTGGAGTATAATATGGAACAAGTTCTGCCATTTTTGTTGGCTCTCAGCTTTTTGGAAGCTTTCTGCTTCTCTTATACAAACTTAAAGAAGATTAAGTGGGGAATAGTTGTACACTGTACACTTTAAATTGATCGCAGCCGTTGATTGGCTGAGATGATCAAACATTTGTGGGTTCCGTGAAACAACATTTGTTAATGCATCAAACTACGAAAAACCAATCGATTTTTAATAACCTAAAAAAAAAAGAAATTGATTTTCGTCTTATAGCCAGAGCTTTAAAGGCCAGAAAATATTTAGTAAACGTATTTTCTAATTGATTAACAAGCAAGTTTCTCTCTTTCACTGCTCAAAAGGCATAATCATGAAAAGAAAAAATAAATAAAAAGGAAATTTCATTTGCAGTTGGTCCAAATTAAAAATAAAGTAATGTCCCTTTCAACTCAACTCATAATCATAAAACATAACGAGATCAATTTTATAATTTGGAACCTTTTCTCTGCAACTCAAGCCATTTCACAGCCTTTCATAAAATGATTAGTCCTATTGGTTAACGTATTCTTTTTCCTACCTTTTCCCCATACTTAGACGATCTTTTGGTCATCTTGATGCTTTGACAACAAAAATAAATGATTCTTCTTCTGCATGATTAGTTGATAAAGTAATTTATTAATTCAATAAAAATTTAGATTAGTTGATAAAAGCTTTTGGGTAGTGCTATGTTGAATTTTTATCCGAACAATATCATCGTGAAAAACATACCCTAACTAAATATGTACTAAGTTGAATTTTTAGTATCCAAACTTTTATTTTAAGATATTTAATAGGTATCTCATTCTTGATTTAAACTTAAGTGTTCCTTCTTCCACTCGTACATAATGAATGTGTAAACTCCAAAACCTTCTAGAACTTAACACATTAACAACTTAAGCTTGCTGGTCCATTGGCTGACATGGTTCACTATGTTTTCTTCTTAAGAAACACAAAGGGATCGACACCTTTGCGCTGATACCACAATGTTGTAAAGTGTGCCAAGACAACAACAATAAACGAACAGAGGAAAAACAAAGAATACTTTTTTCTGAATAACACTTTATCTTCTAATGATTAAAACTAAATACACGAATTTATAGAGTAAAAAATCAAAACGAAAAATCACCCACTAAGACTTAAACTTAAATTCTTCACCCCACTAAAAAGCTAAAAAGTTTAAAAGACTCACACATATGTTATCGTTTTGAATCATTCTTTAACATGTGATCGTGGCCATGAGATACACATACAAGAGTGTGCAGCCGAGTCTGGCTGCGGTGATGACGTTAAGATTGAATAATGACACGTCCAACTTGGACGGTCCAAGTTAACGTAACTTCGCTATTGTTTAGGTCCTCATATAACAACACCATTTTTTTTAATTTTTTTTGGGTACTTTTCAAAAGTGATTTCCTAGTCAGTTTAACTTTTAGTTTGGCTTGTAATAGATCCGTATGTATCAAACCGTTCGAATTGAAATATTTTAACTGAAACATGTGTTTTATAATCCGACTATTTTAATTATAAAAAACTCCAAAACATCGAAACTCTCTTTATATATCCTTCACTGAACAGCTTTTGAGTTGAAAAGACATTAGGGTGTAAGACCGTAAGCCCTGTCACTGAACAGCTCTGTGTTGAAAATACATTAGGGTGTAAGCCTTTGAGGGTCGCGTGGGAAGAGCGATGTTTTTCTGATGTTGTTCAGCGCACAGAAAAGCATGACCACTCGCTCGAGCCCCACTCCGAATCCACCGTGTGGAGGCGCACCATACCTGTCAACATGATTTGTCTGCTTAGAGAACAGCTCAGATAAATTACCAAGTAACGGAACCGAGCTGGTTTACTTTTGTAAATTACCTGAATGAATCGATGTATGTAGATATTGTCTTGACATCAATCCCGCATTCCCCTGCACGTTTCTCCAAGACTTCTGGGATATGGACACGTTGTGCTCCTGATATGATCTCCTCACCTAGGCCACAACAACACGTAAAGTTAGTATCGAACATAATTGGGGAGGAGAACACACATTTAAGGTAAGAAAAGAATAGCTCAAAGATGCACCTCTAATGAAGACATCAAAGGAGTTGCTGTAAAGAGGATTATCAGCACAAGGCATAGTGTAGAAAGGCCTAACTGCCGCAGGATACCGATGCAGAATATAGAACTCAGTGTTGTACCTGTCGAAATCCAACAACACCATAGTGTTAGAACAACTTTGTAACTATGAGAAACAGAACTAACAATTTGAAAACGAATGATATCAAACAGCAGTAGATTAAAAAAGTGATGGATTACTTTTCCAATACAAGTTGGCCAAGTTTTCTCTCAGATTCAGTGTTTAGATCACCAAGAGGATCAACCTCCACACCAGCTTCCTGTCAACATATCAAGATTACAATTATTATCGATAAATAGTCCAGTCGAAAAAGTCAGATAAAATACAAAAGAAAAACAAATACCTTAAGCATTTGAATCCCTTCTTCAAACGTTAACCTCAATGTCTTTTCAAGAAACTGCATATTAATTAGCACCAATTCTCAGAATCCAAAAAGTTACAAAAACTCAGTTACCGTCTTTCTTATAGATATTGCTTGCTGCTCATACTGCACATGGTTGGTTTACCTTCAACGGTTCAAATGGGTATTGCTTTCCAACAGCTTCCAGTTCCTTCTTGCACTTCTCGTTCAAACTAGTGAATATAAACACAAATAACTCGTCCACAAGGTCCATTATCTGCACAAACCAAGAAATATTATTAGCACCACTGGGAGAATAGAAGATACTTGAGATGAATATATATTATTCACAGCGCAGTCTTACCTCAGAATAGTGTTTTTGAATCTCCATCTCCACATCAAGACCCACAAATTCACACAGATGTCTATGAGTGAACGAGTCCTCTGCTCTGAAAACAGGACCTATCTCAAAGACGCGTCGCAAGTCACCACAAATTGCCATTTGCTTGTGCAGCTGAGGAGACTGAGCTAGACAAGCAGACTGTCCTTTGTATTCCAACCTAAATACAGCAGAACCTCCTTCACTACTACCGGCCATGAGTTTCGGTGTGTGGATATTTACAAAATCTTTGGATAGTAATTTTTCTCTGAAAAACTACAAAATAGTGATAGCTAATTCAGTAAAGCAACATAGAACAAAGTAAACCATATGATGGAAAGATCAAAACATGGTAGTAGCTTATACTGGTAAAAAACATTTCTATAGTGACTATCCTATCCTAGTCATGAGGCATATACACAAAAGTTTCTTACCAAACCAGGCTAAAAGATATGAAAACAGTAACACAAATGATAGAGATCTAATGCTCCACCATGCTTTAAAAAAGATCAAGACCTACATTTTCGACACCGCACTGAATGCGGAAGATGGCTTGATTAGCCGGTGTTCTGATGTCAAGCACCCTATGATTCAAACGTGTATCCTGATTGACACGAGAAAATGGCTTTGCCTTTCCACCTGGCTTTTTAGGCTGCAACAACATGAAATATGAAACAGATGGACCACCATCATAGAAGTATAAGAAGAAGGCAAAGTAAAAATTGTACCAGCTCAAAAACTAATCTTTAAAACAGTAAACCATGCATATACCTGAAAAGATTTTTCAATCTCTTCTTCACTTCGAGCAGCATCCTCCACACTAAGTGGTAATTTTGTCAAGGCTTTGTTGACGCAGTACACTTTCCTCATGTGAATTTCAACCTGCAATAACACACACACGCGAGTTATATTACTATAAATCAAACGAATTGAGAGGATCAGAAGAAGAAGAAGAAGAAACCTGCTGCGTAGCTCCCTTTATAGGGTCTTTGGGGAGGACGACGAGACCGATGACATCGACAAAGGATTCGCAAGGCAGCTGCTTGAGGTATTTAAGCATGTTGACGCTAACGTTGGTCTCTTCTGATTGCTTGGCCACGCACTGAACAGTTGATCCACTTTGCCTCAAGATCATAAACACTTGGCGATAGGTGTGAACTCGGCCTCTGATGAGAACCTCAGATCCCGCTAACTCTTCCACCAAATCGCTCACATCGGTCCACTCCTTCCCTTCAACAGCCTCTCTCCATTTCCCGGCTTTCGGATCCGCCGTGGATTGCAACTCGTTCAGAGTCACGTCGCCGTAGTTACTGGACAACTCGTCGACATCTTCTTCGAGAGACATTGAAGCTGTCTGTCTATAGAAAAGTTGAATATCCGACTTGTTTTGCTCTCTCTGCCTCTTAATTAGGGCTTGTTTGTATACACATGCCGTGAACACTAAAGCCCTAAACCGGAACCAAACCAAGAAAATAAAAATCCAATATATGAGTAGCATTTACGCAGTTGTTTTTTTATATCTAAACCGGAACCAAACCAAAAAATTTTGGTTTTAATTTGGTCATATCATATAATATAAAACCATATAAATCAGATTAACTTTGGTAGAGTAACGTTTTCCATGAATATATTTATATTACACTTAGGAATTATGATCCCATATTGTATAAGATAGTGCCAAATTGGATTTTAATTCTTCTTGTGGTTTCGATTATGTGTAACTGATCTATGTTTAATGAAAAGTTTGATGTTAAGCCCAAAAAAAAAGATGCAAATTTTAATGTTTGTCTGAACAGATGTTATTGCTATAAATATGTCTTTGCGTCATATTATTCTACCAATAATACCCTTTTTCCTTCACAGACCAGGTTTTTGGGGTTTCTCTAGGGTTTACTACTTCTCCAATCTCAAATCGCAAATTTTGAAAAACCCCATCTAAGCTTTAATAGATGCGAATTCAACTTCCACTTCTGCCGAATCATCAACTAAGTAGTAATAGAAACATATTTGAAATATGGAAGCTCGAGTCGGTGTAGTGGTGGAAGGAGGACAGAGGGCTCTTAATACCGCCACCGCTACCGCCGTGCATAACAGCGTTGTCGACGCCGGAAACAGGAAGCTGTTACAGCAACAACCGCAGACGCAGACACAAAGCTGCCAGCAATATCACCAAAGTAATAAACGGTCGTTGAATCAGCAGCAAGGCCATTTGGGGATCGTCGAGCATCTTCTCGCCGGAGGAATTGCCGGCGCATTTAGTAAGACATGCACCGCTCCTCTTGCTCGCCTCACCATCTTGTTTCAGGTATTTATTTCTTACAAGTTCTTGTAAGAATTGTGAGGCATCTGAATTTGATGCTTGGTATGGTTGTGCCGGAGGCTTGGAGCTAATGGTTTAAGAAGGCTATTGGGGTTTTGAATTAACCTTTGAGAGAATTTATTTTGACTCGTTTGGGATTAGAGAAAGTGTAAGGATCCTTCTATAAAAGAAAGCTAGAAACTTTAACATACCCCTTAAGGGCTATTTGAAGAAGTTTGAGTTGAAGACTTTATTATATCCACAAACATGAATAACGCTTCAGGTGTGAGGAATCGCATGATTTTATTGTTTTATTGACAAACTTTTGTATGCTTTATCACAGATACAAGGCATGCAGTCGGAAGCTGCAATTTTGAGCAGTCCAAAGATTTGGCATGAAGCTTCCCGTATAGTCAAGGAGGAAGGTTTTAGAGCATTTTGGAAAGGAAACCTGGTTACTGTAGCTCATCGGCTTCCCTATAGTGCAGTAAACTTCTATACATATGGAGAATACAAGAAAGTGAGTGCATTCAAGTCTCTTTTAGAGTGTGGTCTGTTGCAGTTCATGCTGATCTGTCGCTCAGACTTGCCTTGCTTTTTCTGTTTGCAGTTCTTCAACTCAAATCCAGTCTTGCAGAATTATAAAGGAAATGCAGCTGTGGACACTTCTGTGCACTTTGTAAGTGGTGGTTTGGCTGGACTTACAGCTGCTTCAGCTACCTACCCTCTCGATCTCGTAAGGACACGGCTCTCTGCACAGGTAATTGTGTTATCAACTTTAATTTTAACCTTAAAATGAAGGTGGTTCTGTTTACCTTTTTAGTCTCCCCTTGACATAAGCAGTGTTTTTTGTCTTCCCTTTAACTAAAAGCATTATATTTTATCCTTTCCAGAGACATACAATCTATTATCAGGGTATTGGGCATGCCTTCCGTACCATTTGCAGAGAAGAGGGAATTTGGGGTTTATATAAAGGACTTGGTGCAACATTGCTGGTACGCTTTATTTGCTTACCCTTATTCTTCTGTATGAACTGTGTTGATTGTTAACTCCTTGGTAGGGTTGAATTAGTCAGTATAGGTAGCCGTTTAGCCAATGCCTCCACTGCAGTTTTCCCTAGGCTGCTAGGGTAGATGGGAGTGTCCTAGGTGGTCCAACTGTCCAATTAGGCTGTCTAAACGGTTGATTAGGTGATTAAAGCACCTAATAAAGAGACGTATGTGGTCTAAGAATTTTAATTGTTGTGTAAGCTGTTCTATTAAGAATATAGATATGATTTCTCGATGATGCATATATTCTCAGGATCAAAATGCTCAAATTAGGTCACCACCCAACTAGCATTATCTTTAAGCTTCATTGTTCATCTTTTGAATTGCAGGGTGTCGGTCCAAACCTTGCAATCGGCTTCGCAGCGTATGAGTCTTTTCGAACATTTTGGCGCTCTCATAGGTAAATGCTTCTTTACTTTGGGATTTGAATATCAATATCGCCTAGTGAGTTTGTCTGTCCAATACAGAGTCTAAATTTATCCTATCATAATACGTTCGTCTTCAAACTTTTTCAGGCCTAATGATTCAGATGTCCCGGTTAGTCTTGGTAGTGGCAGCCTCTCCGGAATTGTTTCCTCGACAGGTTTCTTATCTGATCTCTCCCTTCACTCTAGTTATCATAGCTAATTAAGCTAAAAAAAAATTAGATGAGTTATGGCTCTTTTGGTATATACGTTACATGAAAGTTTTGTTATTAAATCGATAACTTGTGTAGTGACATTCCCATTGGACCTGGTGAGAAGAAGAATGCAGTTGGAAGGAGCTGGTGGGCGAGCGCGAGTGTATACCACAGGACTCTTTGGAACATTCAAACACATATTTAAGGCTGAAGGCATAAGAGGGCTATACAGAGGAATCTTACCAGAATACTACAAAGTGGTTCCTGGTGTTGGCATTGCCTTCATGACATTTGAGCAACTGAAGAAGCTCTTATCCGTCCCCAATTAATATACCTTAGTGTACCTTTATAGAGTTTGGAGTAGAAGAAACAGAATATCATTTTTCCTATGGTTGGTAGTAGTTTTTTATTATCTTACCGTACATAGTAGTAGTTGCAGTTTTAGGTGTTTAGGTTTACAATTTGTTCCTCATCCTGTCATCCATTAGCATCTCTGACTCTAGATAACAATTTTGCCTTGTTCAAGAGCTCTGTCATTAAGCAAGCTTTATACTTTTTTGTATCTCTTTATGGGTTCTTGATATATGTACCTGCAGAAAGTTTTGGCTGCTTTGTTCTAACGAGCCTTACTTGGCTGAGTAACAACTTTGATGTTTAGACAGACAATAGAGTTTTTGAATGAGAAACATTGTACAATGTTTTGCTAAAACAAGCATATCTGAGAAATTACAATCATCCATTTGACAATATATATTTGAACAGCTTACATGGGAATTTAATCAAATTCATGTCAAATATATTAAAATCAAATCTATAGAAACAATTGATGAGAGCAGTCACAAGTCACAACAAAGAGAATGTTACAAGTCCCTCCAGATTAACCCCAAAAGAATTAAGAATAACTTTTCTTTTTGGCTGTACAATTAAATGATTACAATTACAGACACTAAATAAACAGACGAGACAAGAGAATCATTTCGGATTTATCTGCTCCTCCTCATCGCTTCTGGGGATATGAAGTTCTATGTGATTGAAGATGTTTTAATCTGCTTATGAGCGAGTCAATATATGTTCTGAGCCGATACCTTACTGAGTTTGTGAGTGTTAAAGGCGGATTGAGAATCAGCGTCTGCGCCTCTGCTACTAGGAAGACTAGCAAACGCACCGCTTTTGAGTAAAGGTTTCCTGCATTCTCTGCGTCTCCCATCACTTCATCTACCTGTAATTGTCAAATTCTGAAGTCTTAACCAAAATTGTATCAAATAAACCAAACGGTATCCTACATTTCACCAAAGAAAAAAAAACCCGGATTGGGCACTCCTACAGGAATTACCAGATTCGTTTAGGATTGAAATAGAAACTTACTCCTCCACTTATGCCAAGAACAAGAGCTGCTTGAAATATTATCTCCATAGCATCCGGCATCTTTGTATTATCTACAATTATGTTCTCTGTATTTAATGATTCTGATGAATAAAGAAACTAGAATTGTCTCAGCAGTTTGGTTACTCCACGAAAATACGTACCAGATTCAACAAATTTGGCAAGTTCTTCAGCACGCTCAACCTCCTGGACAAATTCTTTCTGAATCTGAGACAATATTTTCTCTGATCCTTCGTGACTGATATTTCTTCTTACTCTGTTAATGTCTTGGCGCAGGTTTCCTTCTGTCCCCGAGACTGCCTGAGTATGACAGATGTGCAGTGCTTGATTCCATATTGCAAGAATCACCAGTTGGATCGAGAAAGCTTCTAAATGCTTACCATTATCACCCTATGAACGAAACATGAAGAGAAAACGCTCAGAAAAACTCAAGTTAGCAAAACTTTATGCCGAACTTTACATAACTATATTTGAAGTTGCTTACCCTATCATGAACCAATTCTGCTATTGCTGCTGCACACTTTTGCAAAGACCGGATTCTTGTCAAACTGTTAGTTGATGGCTGTTCAAAAGCATCTACAAGATCTAGAGAGCCATGGGAAGTACCCGGGATATAGTTCTGACCCTCCAAGCTTCCAAATCGACTAATGTTGTTGCCAATGGCACCAGCTATTGGCATAGGAGCCGTTAAAGTAGTTACATTTCTCTTAATGGACTCTACAGGAGGAGAATGTGATTTGAATGGGTAATTGAAAAGCTTCGGAGAACCAGACGAAGATGATGGTATATCAACCGGTGGTCCAGATATCAGAACATAATCTTGATCCATTGAGTCTGGAGAATCCCCTACTGCAGACCCGACGTATATTAGAAACTGTGCAAGGCATCTTTTCCAAAGACAATTCAATTTTTATGGGCTAAGAAATTTATAGAAACTTGATTACCTCTTCCTTGAGTACTAAGTGATCTGGAATCAGGCAAGCTTGACGGTTTGAATTGGCTTCTATCTGATAATCTATGGCCTTCAAACTTGAAATTATTGGTTTCTGCTCTATGACTGACTCTACTATATCTGGAAGTAAGTTCCATGTTTTTCAAAGGACTAGATGCTGCCTCCCTTCTCTCAATACTAAATCCGTAAGATGACTTTATTGGAGAAGTATGTTTAAAAGATGAAGGACTTCCCTCAGGTCCACTAGAATCATCATCTAAAAAGAACGGCAAACAGTCTTCTTGAGAAATTTCTTCCATATTTCTTGAGGGACTGCTTCCAGATGAATGAAAATCGTTCATCGTTTGTGAATCTAATCTACTCCTGCAACATTAATCATCTTCAATAAAACATTTTGAACCACAAATGATAACAGAAAGTAGTTTAGCACCGCATCTACCTTGTGAAATCATATGATTGTTTGTCGGAAAGAAAAGGATGATGAAAAAACTCTTCAAACGTCAAACGTTCAACTGTCCGAGAGAATATTTCCAAAAAAAGAAATGTTAAACACTAACAAGTAAGGACCCTCAAACACTTTTTAAGGGTAACAAACACATAGAGTTAGGAGATGAAGAAAGCTAAAATGTTAAACCTCCATGTAAACTCAATACCCAATTTGAACAGGACAATTTCAAATTTTGGCCATACTTTTTAACAAAAGAAAAACTGTGACCATGACAAAAACGAAAATATCCCGACTTGTCCATTCTCTTGTTAATTTTTCAAAATTAGATTGACCCACATATGCTAATAGAATCTGGAACTTTATTAACAAAATGCTTACCTGGATTACGACGCAGGAGCTTCTGGCATAGATCTTTACAGTCAGTACTCAAATCTCTACAGTCTGCTGGAAAATGTAAGTCAGTTGATCTGATAATGTTCTGGAGCAACTGTGGACATTAGATGGAGAGCATGTTAGCCAATATTGCATTCACCTAAACAGAAACATTTACATACTTTGATCATCATGAAACTTGATATACAAAACCTGAATTTGACTGTTTCCTGTAAACGGGGTTCTGCCTGTCACAAGTTGAAATAATATAGCACCAACACTCCAGAGATCTGCCTGTGTATCAAGGAAGATTTTAAGCAGGAAATGATATAAGAATGGCCTATGTGGTATATAGAAACAAAAGTCGCACCTTTGCATCATATTTTTGAAGCTGCATAATCTCTGGGGCCATATACAGTGGTGAACCACATAAAGTTTCTGCCAAACCCCTAGGCTGCAATGATCTGAGCTAAGAAAGGGTGATGCTTAAGTGAAAATTTACAAACTCAAAGAGGTGTAATAAGAATGCTACCCCAGGAAAAAGAAGTGCAAACACCTAAAACTAGATATATAGATACAAGAAAAGCAGAAAGAAACCATATAAGACCAACTCTGACCATAACATTAGACTAACTGTTTCTGTAACAAAGATGCTGTCGACAATACCTTGCAAATCCAAAATCAGCAATCTTCAGAGCTGCATCATTATCAACTGTGGATAGAAGAAGATTCTGTTTCAAGAATGAAAGAAGCTTAGCAATCGAATTTGAAGTTTAGAAAAAAAAATCTCTCTCTGCTAGGGCAAGAATTTATAAGAGAAAGAAGTAAACAAGTTATAGTGGAACCTAACAGATTACCCTTGCACGGTGTCCATTTCAACCCTTTGAGAGATTAGTCTTTTAGAAAGGGCTCGAACGTATTGTCATGACAAGAGAAGATCATATCAGGGTTTGAGTTACTAGACATACCTGAGGCTTTAAATCGCGGTGAATGATATTATTATCACGAAGAACTTGTAAGCCAGCCGCTATTAGACAGAAAATTCATTGAAAGAGTGAGAACGTGATTCTACCACTCCAAACAAAACGGCAAATGAATCAGAATATTTGGCGGACTTTACCTAACTGCTGCATAAAATGCTTAGCAGTAGCTTCAGGAACAGTTCCATGTTTGTGAATGTACATAGACAGATCACCCCCTTTACAATACTCCAAAACCAGATTTATTTTCCCAGGAGCCTAATAGAAACAGAAAACCAACCTCACACGATTAAAGCCATCTGCAGTTTAAGAATTTACCATTTCCAATACATTAGATCATCAGACTACATCGTCTACGGATTTCGAAAGTGCTAAACATCTAAAATTCAAGAAGGGCAATGCTCTACTACTCCTCCTCTAATAAAGTTAACACATTTAAGAATTTCACCAAAAATGAAGAAAGAGTTACATGTTTCACCGAGCAATGGCAGCAGCTTATAACAGCTACATCATTCCATATCCTGACTGCTCTGATTCTAATTTACTAGACAACCAAAGAGAACTGACTAAACTCATAAAACCCAGCGAAGAAAGAAGAGAAAGATATACCTCGATCATGTCGATAAAGCGGATGATGTTAGGATGATTAATCTTCCTTAAGATGATAATCTCGGACATGAGACTCTCTTGCAACTTCTTATTAAGCCGAGCCATGGCGATCTCCTTGATAGCAACGACGGTGCCATGGACAAGGTGCCTCCCTTCCCAAACAACCGAAAACGAACCCGACCCGATTTGTCGACCCACCGCATAATCGCCGATAACCCTTCCGCTTCTCCCCGCCGCCGCCGACTGAGCCATTTTCCTCCCGACAAAGGAGCAAAATCAACTCCGGAGATCCGAATTTGAGCTGCGGGAATTGAAATCTTCTTTGTGATTTCTCTAAAACCCGCTTCGAGTTGAAAAAAAGAAAGAAAAAGGAATTGAATTGAGAGGCGTATTCAGATAATAAAATGATGATATGAGAGAAGAAAGAAAGGTTTAATTTGAATTGATTGAATGCAAAGTTGTTTAAAAAATTATTATAACAAAGGAATCAACTTGTAAAATGACGCCTCTGGTTTTATACGACGATCAGAGATGATGATGATGATGATGAATTGTAATTAATTTAATAATTTACATATATATATATATGTAGTAAAATTACGGCTGAGTGGACATAATGACAGGATGATTAGTGGTCTTAATTGACGACCGCTCATCGCTCACCAGCCTTACTAATCCCTACACCAATACAACAAATGATCATCATACCTATACTAGCTACACAATTCATGTGAAGAAATTATATAAACGTGTTTTGTTGCAAGGTCCTCATGATAATCAAGACATTATGTGAATGTGTGATTGTAATTTGGAAAACCCAATGCATTCGTTGTCGTCTTAGACTGTTGTTTTTTTCCTATGTTCTTTCTCAATTGG